GCTGAGGCAGGAGGACAGCAAGTTCAAGGCCAGCTTGGGCAATCTAGCATCTGAGTGAGATCTCGTCCTTTTCTCAAAAAAAAAAAAAAATTGTTGGGATGTAGTTCAGTGCAGGGGTTAAATATTGAGAGGGACAGAGAGAGAGAGAGAGAGAGAGAGAGAGAGAGAGAGAGAGAGATCCCAGTCTAGCTGAGAGTGCTGCTTCTCCTAGTATTCTTGGTACTCCTAGTACATTCCTGCTGCTGCTGCTGATACTACTAGTCCTACGTGCCCAGAAGGACTTTAAATGCTCTGTGTACATTACCGCACTGGTACAGGTGACACTATTATTCTCAGGGGACAGAAGGACACTGAAGCAAGCACTGGATAGTGTGCCAAGATCGCACAGGAAGTGAATGAAGGGGATGGAATAGGAATCTTGGTCGTCTAATGACCAAAGTCCACGTTCTTGTCCACCGCACAGAGCCGGTAATCACAATGACTTGGTTACTAAGGAGCTGCACACCAGGGTGCAACCAGGGCCCCTGCCTGGTGTCTTCTTTGAGGCAGATGTGATGCCCGAGGTTGGGGCACGGGGTGGGGTCTCAGCAAGACCTCGGGAGAGGGTAGCATGGGGTGGATGTCAGGGCCTGGAGGAGTCCCGGGACACTCTTACCCTGTGTGTCTTTCTTTTCTTTTTAAATCTAGTTCTCATGGACAGAGAAATGAGGAAACAAAGTGCGAAAAAGAAAACTAATATTTATTGGGTACTAGACACGTTGCTAAATGCATTTCACATTATAAATGATTTTTGATTCTCACAAATGTCCTGTGAGATAAATCTGAACAACACTTACAAAATGAGAAAATTGAGGCTTAAAAAATGATTCACTCAGATTCCCATAACAAATAGGTCAAAATTAGGACTTGAATCCAGTCCTGGTCTATCTATGCTCCTGTCACTGATCCATGGGAGCCCTATTTGAGGAGAAAACTAAGCCAAAGTGTGTGTGTGTGTGTGTGTGTGTGTGTGTGTGTGCGCGTGTGCACATGTGCATGCTCATGTGTGTGGGATCAGGTTGGAAATCTTTGTGGTCGTATTTCAGTAATGGAAAAAAATAGGAGAGAGACCCAAAATCCTAGTAGTAAGTTCCTTTAACTTCACAAATTCTTTTGTTTGATCACTGAAATTCCCTCCTTTCTTAATTTCATTTTATGTCGTTCCAACTCACAAAACCACTACTCCTTAGATTGAATCTAATGGAGGACCAATGAGACCAAGGAATATTCCAACCTCAAACACAGACAATATAGTATTCCTAAGATCTTCCATAATTGGGTGTCAAGAAAGTGCTACCTGAGGTATTCTGTGGGTGTTACCACTGTGCTTCATTCTACAGGAAAATGATGTTTAGAATCATTCATTTAGCAAGCCTACATGGAGTACCTGCACCTTTTTCTGAGTCCCTTATTTAAAGAGAAAAATTCACCTATCAAAGCCAAATCCAGAGGAGAAAAAGAAATAAGAAATGTCCATAGCAAAAGCAGGCCAGAGAAATATACAACTGTTTTCCTCAGAGGATTAAAAGATATCTTGCTTTGAATCTCTTTGTGCCCATACAACAAGGTAATACATGTGCTTTAGCTGACTAAACAAGATTCTGTCAGTAGCTTAAAAGCTCCACTTCTTATGTAATGAATATACTATTTCATGTACTAATGGCCCCAAAAGAATGAGAGATGTTTTTTATCTTTTCTTCAGGAGTAAAGTTAACTGGATGATGAATTAAGTGTATAATACCCTTGCTTTAAATCAAAGAATGCCTAACTCTAATGAATGATGATCTATAATATTACACCATATATAATAGCATTTTTGAGGATGAGAGGTAGATGCAATGCTTAAAAGCATTATTTTATGTGTAGATGAAAAAGTAGACATCGATTTCTTTTGACGCAAGCATCACAATTTATTGAACCAAGCTTGCTAAGGTCAATATTTTCCTCATAGGGCAATATATCCATATGTTTATTGAAGTGCAGAATCAATTTTTGTACTGTTACATGTATTCCAGATGCCTTACAGAATTCAAGAGCCTAGAAGAGGTTTCGCTCAAATCGCTCAGTTTCTATGTGAGGAAATTGAGTCTCCCAGAAACTGAGGGGCATGTCTACATTGTTTTCTTTGCTCCACTGCATACCTATTGGGAAGGGTGCCTCTAGATTTAGTCAGCTATACCTCCTACACTATCTCAGCTGGCTTCATTAAACATTTTGAAAGTTGGCTTCTAAGTCTGGAGAAACTTTCTTATTTTAAAAAGTTCCTATGAGTAACATAGCATCTTATAACTTAAAAGACATCTATCAAAGGGGAGAAATGATCAAAATGCAGCAGTGGATTATACAGATTTGCACTGGAATGGTTTTTTCGGTGAAGTATCGCAAGAGAAGTCCAAGGCACTTCTCTTCATGAATGGGACTTTCATGCTCACATGGACTGGCTGGTTGCTGGAGTAACGTGCTCAGTGTCTGCATTTTCCTATATCCTCATTTCTAGAAGTGCCTCCCACTCTGACTCCAGACCTGGCCTCCTGTCTTATTTTGGCCAATGGACAACAGCAAGGCTGAAGGTAGCAGAGACTCACATGTGAACACACTGGGCCTTGCAGTCACCTATCTCTCTTTGGAAACCAAATGCCTCATGTGAAGGAGCCCAGGACAGTTCATGAAGGAAGCACGCTAACTGAGGTCCCTTTGACTGCCTATCATCCCAACTGCCAGATATGTGAGTAAGGCCACCCTGGACCACCGACTACGGCCGAGTCTTGCAGTAAACTTGGAGGTCAGCTAATTGGCTCAGAAAAGAAGAGCCGCCTCCCTGGCCAACAGAATCACAGTTGGTAACATATTCCTATTTTTTAAACCCCTAAGTTTTGGACTAATTTATGAGGCAGTAAGGCTGGTCCATATACTGGGCCATATATGATGATATAGCTGATGCATATGAATGAAAAACATAGAAAGTCACACATAAAGTGGGCAAGAGGGCAATTCTGGGTTCACCCATGTGGTCTGATGGTTCTTAAATCATTAAAAAAGTGAAACCATGGAGATTCTGTCATTTTTAGAAGTGATGGATGTTTTCATATAACAGCAACTTTTAATACAGAATTTGGTCATTTTACTGGGAGGTGGTCAGGGAAGCAATGAGAGGAACAGGATCTCCTGGAAACATAGGATTTGACCAGTGAAGACAGAAATCTTGAAGCTATTGGTTCAGAGCACCAGGTATGCGCCTGTGGGGCTGAACTCCTTCCATTATATGATCTTTATAAGTGTTTACATATTTCCATCATTTTTTTCACCTCACTTACAGTTTACATGAACTCGTTGACTTTCCTGTTGGGTAAAGTTGAAACCCAAAGTGAAACAGTAGCAGTAGCAACGAATACCTATACCAAGAACTGGACAGGCGGGGAGGGGGCTCGCTGGGTACAAGATATGGCTTTCAACATGGAGCCCTCCATGAAGAGACTCAACTGCTTCTGCAGTGACACAGACAGGACAGAGCTGTGCTGTTAATTCCATGATTAAGCCAGTTACATGTTTTCTTCGCACTGACCAACATCCTGAGAGATACTAGCACATATAACTGCAGATGTCCTTATAGTCCCTTCTCTACGAAGTTGAAGTAGGTGACAAGACACAATCTTTGTCAGATGCAGAGAACGTATTCCAACGTTGCCCATGTGGAGGGGTATAATTGAGAAGCAGGAATAAACATTTCAGAAATAAAATACCCCGAAAACACATAACACTCTCACACGCATACCGATGCACATACAATTCATTTTTCCTGAAACGATAAAAGAAATACAAATAAACGAAGCGCATTTCTCCACATCTACTTTATATTAGCTGTAGAATCTCATATGCCACTGGCATCTGTGGGCCATTAACACTTGCATAAATTTATGGGTAGCTTATGCTTTAATATCCTCTGTGAAATAGTGTTGTGTGGGTTATTTTTAAATATTCAAAATGATCATGAACATATATAAGGTGAGAATTGAATGTTACTATGCACCAGGCATGTGCACAGCTTTTTATAAAGAGAAAGAAGGGATTGATTGACGACATAGTACGAATAAGGCTGTTCTTTGTAGTCTAACAGTGGGATGAGACAAAAGGTGGACTGTACCTATCAGCTGTGTTCTCTTCAACCCTTGACACTAGGGAGAGTGGTTTCCAAATTTTGGAATAAAAGCACCTGCTTTAGAGTAGACAGATTTTAGACCTATCTTAAATTATATTTTCCAAATGTGTTGGCTGGGAGGATTTATAGTCACAAATGCTACCGGTGCACTCAGGAAAGCATCCACATTTGGAATAGGGTCGCATTTGTCTGTGCAAGGTAATATTATCAAGTCTCAGGCAGTCCTTGGTGCTCTGCTATTACCCAGGGGTCTCTGGTTGGGCCACCAACTCAGGGCTGAGACGGACAGGAGGATGAAGACTGAGGCCACCAGAACCATGAGTGTCTCCGCATTTTCAACCCATAACACAGCACCTGATTATGTATGGTCGTTTTGACCCATCAGCCCATCTTTGCATCCACTGACAGCCAGACCCAGCACCAGAAGCTTTTGTGAACATGCGCGTCGATCCTTTCTGAAGGCGGCCTCCAGCCTTAGCCTGCTGTTTCATCTCCCTGCTGCCCAGAGCTCCATCAGTCTAAGGGTCTGTGACAGCAGCGACTGTTGCAGACCGAATGTCTCCACCGCCAATGAACAATGACATTACATACACTAAGCTAAAGTCTGGCTGAGTGTGCTCTTAATGGCTATTTGTCCTCTGTGGCATTGAGCGGATGTGAAGAACACTAGACTTCTGGCCCTGAGAATCAATAGAAACCCTTTCTGATGTAATACATGGCACTGTGACAGCCCTAGACCTCTCTTTGGGGTCAAGGGCACCATACTTCCTGGAGAATAACAAGAACTAAGGTGTAGATAAGTGCTTCCTATATGCCTATCACTGTAGCGAGTCTGTTTCATACATCATGTCATCATCACAACAAGCCTATAAGTAGTTATATTATTTCAATACTTTTTGCATAAGAAAATTGAGGCATAGAGAGGTCATGGATACAAGAACATGTAGCCAGACAAACCCAGACTGGCTGGCTCCAAAGGTACTCCACACACCATAATATTATCTACAAGTGCTATTGGAATGAAACAGCAGTATTTTTACGTAAAACCCCCTAATCCACTTAATTGTTAAGGTTGAACAGGTAATGGAAAAAATTTCTGTATGACTTACTGCACTGAGCCTATCAGTAACAGTCCACTTAATGATACTAATGTTATTTAACCCTCAGAACTCCAGTTTGGAGTGATGAATGTTTATGGCCATCAACAGCAGCACACAGAGGGGTAATGCAATCTAGGTCCTCCAGAATGTTGCTTTGCAGAAAAGTTCCATATCTGTATGAGCACAACACAAAGGGTTGCACAAACTGGAGCCACTCCTTCAAAGTACCGAGGCTATTTCCTGGTAAGTTCATTTTCTAGCTGGGAAAATGTTGAATTCTGTCTTAAGGAGGGCAGAGGCATTCTCAACTTGGAGACCGCCCACCAGAACTGACATTGAGCGTCTTTGGCTTCAGCTAAGGGAGTCTCAACGAGTTGGGAGGTTTAGTGCTGAGTCGCATTTACTCCTTTGGGGTTTGACTTCAGCTATATGCGCCCTCACACTGCCCTGTGTTTTGAAGAAAGCCGGGGGGGCTGTGTTGTGGTCTGATTTACTCATCTTTTGTAACTGATCGTCACTCGGGGGGCAACTTTTGGATGTCTAATTCATTGAAAATGCTCCCTGGGTAAAATAATTTAGTCAATAAATAATTAGCTGTAGAATTGATAACTCAAGGAAAACAGACTTGGAAATATAAACAGTGTGGTAAAGAGACAGAAAGCAGTATTTATTTTGCAGAACCCCGTGACTGTGCACAGGGAGTGATGGGTGGGAAAGGTGCCCCGGTGTGTGCAGCTATGGGAATGTCTGAAGTATCTCTAGTCCACAGAGCATTTTCTAACCGTCACTGAGGCATAGTAAGTTTGTAGGGGAAAAACATCAATAAACTATAGATAGAAATGTAGGTTTGTGGCAGTCTTTGAAGAGGTAAGCCGGTAAGCCTCATGGACTTCTGGAGAGAGAGAGAGAGAGAGAGAGAGAGAGAGAGAGAGAGAGA